GCGGGATTCCCACCCCTCCTGCAGGTGCACGGGAGGGAGAGAGGGGCGGGATTCCCACCCCTCCTGCAGGTGCAGCCCCTCGAGCAGGTGGAGCAGCACGGGTTGTGGCCCCGGTGCGAGCCGGGTCGAAATACTCACCCTCGGAATCCGAAAGGCGCTGCCACGAGCGCGGGCAGCAAGGCATGGCGTCAAGTTCGAGCGCCCCCCAAGGAGGCTCCGGTCAGCGAGCGCTCAGCCTGGGCGCTGGCCGTGCGGATCCCCGTCTGCGACCGGGGACAAGGGTCAAGCTCGGCTCCGGCTCCCCCGGGGGAACAAGCGCCGGGCGATCGAGCGCGGACACTCCCCGGACTCGGGCTCCCGTCCCCTCGCGGCCGCCCCGCCCCGCCCCGCGGACTCCCCTCCGCCCAAACGCGGAGCCCGCGGCCTGTACCTTTAAGAGCAGCCGAGACGCCCGCGGCCGGCGCGACGGGGGGGCGCGTCACGTGACGGCGCCTCCCATCACGTGATCACGCGCTCGCCGGCTTCCGCCACTTCCGGGTCCGCCCCCTTCCGCCCCGGAGACCATTCCCGACGTCGGGGCGTGGGAAGGGGAGGGGCCGGGAGCGCCCCGGAACCGCAGCCTGGAAACGGGAGCGAGCGGGGTCCCCGAGAGCAGCCGTGACGTAAGACGGGCGGCGTCCGGGCCGTGACCGGGTCCGCCAGCTCGGCTGTTGGCGTCCCTCACCTGCCAGGAACAGACATGGCCGCCTGCCAGTTCCTCCGACCCGGGACGAAGACGGCCGGCGTCATTCTGTGTTCTTTCGCCTCCTTCTTGCCCCTAAAAATCGTTTTAGAACACGAAGGGGAGATCGCACTCACCTAGGGGTTGGACCGATAACTCTTAGCGGAATCCTAGGCGTGAGAGAGGAAGACACTCTTTTCCAGCGGAGCCTAGAACCCCAAAGCTGCGAGTGAGAACAGTGACGTACACAAAAGGGACGTTAATGCCCGTCCTGGAACGGTGGCTCCAAACTTTCTAAAGGTGACTCTCAGGGAGCCTTTCAGCGACCAGAAACAGCGCTCTAGCAGCAGGGAGCCCTTCACAGGCTGCTGCTGGATCCCGCCAGCATCCGGGGTCCCTAGATCAGATTAGTCGACCGTCTAATATTCTGACGCTGAATCCAACTTCCCCAATTTCTCACCCACACACAACAAAAATGAGGTCGGTGCGGAGAGATCACTTCACAAATCCTCAAATATGGAGCGGTTCTCGTTTGCCGCAGCCTCCACAGCCCTCTTCATTCAGCCCCTGTGGTGTGTGCTGTGGGTTCCCAGCAGTTTGGGCCCACTCTGCCAGCCCTTTCCCATCACCAGGCTGGAAGGACTACTGGGGCCCCTTCGGGTGTGCTTCCCAATGAAAATTGGGCTCCTCAGGTAGCATAAAACTGAAGCCAAGCCCACTGCTGTTGACGCGCACAGCCGCGCTAGATGACCAAGTAGAAATGCTTCTGAGGATTCCAAGGCTATAAATCTGCAAGGAAGATCTTTCTCCTACTGAATGAACACCTGGTGGCCACTGCACCCACCCCCAGGGTCCTCGCAGGAGGAGGGGTGGGAGGCACAAATGCACACAAATGGTCTTTCAAACCTGAATAACCACCGAAGGAGACACCAGTCCGATCCCTTTCTTGCCCTTAAGGCATGCAATCCTAAGCCTGAAATGGAGAAATGGGAAGTCGTGGTAGGGTGGTCCCCACCAGCTTGGGAGCCCCCTCCTCACTTCCACTGTTTGTTCCAGGGCAAAACAGGAACCACAAACCCCAGTTTCCTCACAGAGTGGTTGTGGCTTTTGGGGGGGGGGGGAGGCGGAAATGGCTGAGGTATGAA